TGCACAGCCATTCCGCTATAACTCAGTATCACAAAACTGTAAACACAAAGACACTTAAAATTTTGTGGACTGCTTTATAGGTGGGAGCTCTGGTGGTATAGTGCCTAAGGCATATGACTGCTAACCAGAAGGCTGGAGGTTCAAACCCACCAGCTACTCCTCGAAAGGAAGATTGGGCAATCTACTTCTGTAGAGATACATCTTGTTATGTGTCTGCACTGACTTGACAGTAGCGAGTTTGGCTTTTTTGGTTTTGGCTTTATAGAAGGAAAATTTAAAAGACTGTTCAAAAAAATTAAAAAACAAGTATTTGAAGAGTCAGTTTAAACTCTTTGGATTCTGTTTATCCTGATATTTGAACTTTTTAAGTTTGATAAAATCTGTAAATAAATGTTACCTTGATTTTTAAATACCTAGAGATGGATTCAATTATCAAGTCCCATTTATTGTCTCTCTATTTTACATATTTCACTTAAAAAAAAAAAAACAGAGCTTCTGCTCTACTCTAAAACGATATTCAATTCCATCATAAATTGAACATCAGCTTAAGAATATTTAAATTCAGCAGATTTTAACATTCTACCAATTCTTCTTTAAGAAAAACACTGTGTTATTCAATTGAGGCAAAGAACTCTCTATAGTTAATCCATACCAATGCTGTGAACACTGAATATTCTCTTCAATTAAAGTAAAATTTAAAGTTCAGAACTCCATAAGGCTCTAGGAAAATTCTGGAGTATACTAGAATTTGAAATAATAATAATGAACCAGAGTCTGGTACAGTTCTTGGTTCAGGGTAGCCTGCAATAAATGTTTTAAATGATAAGTAAATTCACAAGGAGAAAGAGTTATATGTAAATTACATCAAACTGCTATTAATTTAACCATTGTATATTGTGTGGCATAGTGCTTAAGGCATTTGACTACTAGACAGAAGGTTGGCAGTTCAAACCTACCAGCCACTCTGTGGAAGGAATACTGAGCAATCCGCTTCCAGAAAGATTTACCACCTTGGAAACCCAAGGGGGGCCACTATAAGTTGAAATCAATTTGAGGCAGTGAGTTTTTTTTTTTTTGTATATTGTTATTAGGTGCCATCGAGTTGGCTCTGACTCATAGCAACCCTATGTGCAACAGAATGAAACCCTGCCCTCTCCTGAGCCAGCCTCACAATCATTGCCTATCATTGCAGTCACTGTGTCAATCCATCTCCTTCAGGCCTTCCCCTTTTTCACTGACTCTCCACTTTAGGTAGCATGATATCCTTCTCCAGAGAATGATCCCTTCTGACAACATGACCAAAGTAGGTGAGATGAAGTCTGGCCATTCTCACTCCCAAGCATTCCAGCTGCACTTCTTCCAAGACAGATTTGTTAGTTCTTCTGGCAGTCCACTGTACATTCAGTAATCTTCACCAACACCACAACTCAAAAGTATTAGCTCTTTTTCGGTCTTCCTTTTCATTGTCCAGCTTTCACATACATATAAGGTGACTCAAAATACCATGGCTTGGATTAGGCTAGGTGTACCTTAGTCTTCTAAGAGATATCTTTGCTCTTCAACATCTTAAAGAGGTATTTTTCAGAAAATTTCCCCACCACTCATCTGTCAGTTTGTCATACAGTGGTGGCTTGTGTGTTGCTGTCAGGCTGGAGGCTATGCCACTGGTATTTCAAATACCAGCAGGGTCACCCATGGTGCAAAGGTTTCCATGGAGCTTCCAGACTAATACAGACTTGAAAGAAGGAAGGGGGCCAACCATTTCTCAAAGAATTGGCCAATGAACCATTGTATAGATCATGATAATTAAAAGGTGAAATTAATGTGCTCTTAATAATTGAAATAAAAATTAATAAAAATGTTCAAAATGTGTCAAAGAAACTAAAATTATTTTTAAAATGTGATCAAATTTCAATAGACATAGACATTTTAAAGCTAGAGAAAGGCAGTAAATGATTTAGGAAATGTCACACTCCGGAAGATTATTACCAGCACTCACTAAGGCCTTTCATACCGAGATCCATGGTGAAGAGCAGAGATGAAGAGTGCAGACTTTAGACCCACACTGTCTGGATTTGAATTTCTACTCTATTAATTACTAGCTGTGCAGAATTAGGTACACTATTTAACCTTTTTCTACTTCAGTTACTTCTTCATCCAAAACACAACAGAAGGACTAACCCTTCCCCCTTTCTTCTTAAGAAGATTCCAAAATAATATTAAAAGGACTCATAGAAATTGTTTTGTTTGATTGCCTTTTTCATTTACTGTTTGACCATAGCTGATGAAATGTGACATTTCATTAAAGACAAGAAAACTAGTACCATCACCACCACTGCCATACTCCGTCCTGACCATGATCATCATTGCTGTCACTACCATCATCACTAGTACTACCATCAGTACCACCCACATTATCAAAACCGTAACTACCACTAAAACCAGCATCATTATCAACCACCATTATGATATCTGCCATCACCGCCTTCTCCAAAAGTACCACCACCATTTCTATCACCACGACTAGATTTTTTTTTCCATCAGTTCCACTATGATTATTACTGCCACTATACCAAATATAGCCACCACCACTACCATCATCATTACCACTACCACCATCAGGGCTACTAACACCTTTATCACCATCATAACCATCACCATCACCGCAGCAATATCACTGTAACTGCCATTACTACCACAGTCACTATTACCACCAGAAACACTTCTACCATCACTGCCAGTACCACTACCACCACCAACAATATCTTTAATGTCCATGTGAATATAAATATGAATTTAGAAGCTGTCATTTGGAGAATAAAGGACAAGATGTAAATGTATACATAGTAGTAAAGGGAGGCAAAAAACTTTTTTTAAAGGACATTTGGAACCAAGTATAGAGATAGGAGAAGGTAGAGGAAGTTGTCAGTTGAGAAAAGCTTTTACACATGTTTCTAATTACAGAAAAAAACAGATTTTACACACTCAAGGTTCAGATTGTTAAATATATATATATGTAAAAAATGAAAAATAAATAAAAGTCATGTTTATGTGCTGGAAACAAAAGTTGGACCGATAGCTACAGAGTACAACCTTTGGAAGGATAATACTAAAAATTTCCCTTTACATGCCAAAGTGTGCTGTTAGGGTTCATAGGTAAAGTCATTTAAACTAGTGTTGAGAAAAATGGGTTTTAGAATCAATGAGCCTTGCATCTGAATCTCAAATCCGGTACATACCTGACTTTGAGTAAGTTACTTAACTTACTCAAAACCTCAGTTTTTTCACATGAAAGTGATGATATCCATTAATCAGCATTGCAAATGAATATTTAATGAATACATATATGTAAAATACAGTAAAACCTATAAAACCCAGAATCTGTGTAAGGTGGAAATCTGTCAAAGAAAGAAAACTCAAATATTGTCCACCAAAATGAGTGATAGAAAAATGGTAAGAATGTAACCGCTCAGAGGCAGAAAACGTGTGAGACCCAGAAAAACATCACAGTCTAATTGAGTTCCAGCTCTCACAGCTTTCACTGTGTAAGCACATAGCACAAAGCTTGCCCAAGATTTAGAACTTTCCTTCCACTCTCAGTCTTACAAAGTATATCTCAGTTGTTGTTGTTGTTGTTATGTGCCGTCGAGTCGGCCCCGACTCATAGCGACCCCTCCTTGGGTTTCCGAGGCAGTATCACTACAGAAGTAGGATTGCCCAACCTTCCTTCCGAGGAGTGACTGGTGGGTATCTCAGTAAATGGTGCCATTATTCACAGTAAGAATGTGAATCCCAAGAAACTCATGCACAAATTCTGTTATTTCTCCATAATGTAGGTCAAATTCACCCACTTGCCTTCTCCTACCCAGCCTCCAATTTTATCCAAGCCCAAGCAACTGATAGACCTTGTCTCCCAGCTGCTACTCAGTTCAAACCTTTCTCCACCTAGCAGACAACATAGACTTTAAACAAAGTATAAATAAGGTGATGATTGAAAACCTTTAGTAGCCTCCTATTGCACTTAGAATAAAACACCATCTTTTGTCCTACATAATCTGTCCCATGGGCAACTTTTCTACTTTACCTCTTACCATTCTCCACCTACCTCAAAAAATTTTGGTGATGTTGTCCTTACTGTTCCCTCAGCACACTGAGTTTTGGCTGTAACCTTTTCTAACAGGCTCCCAGATCTGCTTATCTGAAATAAGATCCTTCTCGCTCCACTCAGTTCCTCTTTATTATTTCACTTTATGTTTTCCATCACATTAGTAAGCTTAAGTTATATCAATTATCTCTCTATCTTGTCCTATTATTAGAATGTAAGTTTCTTGAAGGCAATGATACTATTACCTTGTTTACTCTTTTATTCCCTGTTCAAAGGGCAGTATCCACCATTATTTAATATTAGATAAAACATTCAGTATACAATGAAATTAGAATCTTTATTTTATTTTGGTCAAAATGTCTAATTAAACAAGCAATATCTCATTATCAAGAAAATAACAATGATAGGAAATAAAAGAAGCATTTGCCTGTGTAAAGGAATGTCTTCCAATTCTTGAATGGAGGCAAAGAATAGATGAGTAATCATTTTAAGAAAATTATGTCTGAAGGTCTCATAATAATCACAAGAAAATTTAAGAGAAATTTTATGAGTATATATATTTGTTATCTCCAAAGTTTATAGTTGATCTCTGATACCTGAAAGATATACTTAGACTATGCAACATGGAAAAGGAGCCAAATCATTGTCAAGGACACATAATGCCCCAAACCTGAATGTCATCTATATTCTATATAAGGAAGAAAAAAAAAAAAAAAAGTTTTGGTGATAGTCCCTAAAAATAGTCAAGAAAAAAAGATTAGATATGCTGGAAGAGTATCATTTTAAATTTATTTGACCAAAGTATGTCCATGCTTTTGATTACTGATTTATAGGATTATATGATATTGGGGAAGTGAAAATGAAAGTGATGGCATTTCCATTATTCTGTACTCACTGTGCATGGGGTCTGCATCCATGGTTCCCCATCAATCTGCATTGGAAGGGACTTACTTGTCCTGGGGAAAAATATTTCATTGTAAGTGGAATATAAATAATTTATATAATAGGACATACACACAATAGACAATGATGAGATCAAGGAATGAAAATATGACCATATCTGGGCTCTACAGGGCTCTCTTCTGAAAGAGCTTCATCTCGATTATTAACAAACACCTTAAGAGGTACCTTTGTCACGTTGTTGTTGTTATTGTTGTTATGTGCCATCGAGTCAGTCCCAACTCATAGGGACCCCTCCTTGGGTTTCCAAGATGATATCACTATGGAAGTAGATTGCCCAACCTTCCTTCCAAGGAGTGGCTGGTGGGTTTGAACTGCCAACCTTCTGGTTAGTAGTCAAGTGCCTTAGGCCCTATGCTGCCAGAGTTCCTACCTTTATCACAGGAACATTAAGAATTTCCCCTTTAATGTTACAATATAAACAAAAATCCTTAGTGTCAGGATAAAAATATCAGGGCATATGGTTAACAACACAATCAGAATTCCTACAGCCAAGAGCCTTCTTGTTTTCATGCACCTATATTGTAAAACTGGAGAAAAGTTGTTGTTTCATCAGCTTTTCCAGTATCTATGCATTCATAGTAGTAACTCCCTGCCAAGTTCCTGTCAAGTCTGTGCCATGATTCCTGGTTTCACACCAGCATCAAAATTGAACTAGGTTTTTTTTTTTTTTTTTTTTAATAGATGAAATATTTGAAAAAGCATCTTGAAAGGGTTTAAATTCAAACCATGTATATAATTGTATACGCATAATTGTAACTATTCATTATCTAATTTGATGAAAATAATGTAGATTAATTAATAAAAGAATTTACATTAATAACGCCTCAACAGTACTTTCATTAGGTAATTTGCCCAGTATGTATTTTGGGGCTACAGTGAACTAAGCAGAGTGTGAACCAGGTTAGACAAATTGAACAAACCCTATTGCTGCCAAGTCGATTACAACTCATGGTAACCCCATGTGTTAAAGGGTAGAGCTGCTTCATAGGGTTTTCTTGGCTATAATCTTCAGAGAGGCAGATCATGAGGTCTCCTTATGCAACACTGCTGGGTGAGCTTGAAGCACCAACCTCTAGGTCAGTAGTAGAGGACAAGCCATACACCACCCAGGGAATTTGTGATCAAAATTTGTATGTTAGAATTGGTGCAGCAATGGAAATCAATAAGGGAGAATTGAATTTCAATGAATCCAGTAGGTAATAGCTAATCCACAATTTGTAAAATCTTCCAACTTCCATTATTTTTAAATACAACAGTAATAACCATTAATCATTTGAGGCACAAATAAGACACATGTCAAAGAACCTTGATAATTCTGATTCATTTGTAGTTATGCCATGCCAAACCCCTTCCTCAATTACAGAGAAAAAACTACCTGATGACCACAGAGGAGCATTGAGCCAACCTCCGCCCAGCACTTTTCAGTCCTGTGTATATCTGCCCCATCTCCATGGCTCCTTCCAGGCCAACCACCTCCAGTAGCTGGTCACTCAGGTCTGAAAGGACACAGATGCCTTGTAAGACATTATTAAGACAATTATTATCATATATGTGCATATGCCCCAAATTTAATGCCATTAAATAGTATTGAGATGAAAAAACAAAGCCACTTCACAAAATGAATCTCGTCTATCTTGGAAACTGAAAGTAATGAAAAGATGTTCTAATTTGTGAAACTCTTGGTTTAACTAAACCTTGAGATTCTAAGGAAAACGATTTGCTGTCAGCTTATTCTAAAACAAAATTGGGAAGAATAGATTCTGAGCCAAATAGTGCCAAAAAATACACCAGTAGTTTTTGACATCAACAAACTTAATGCTATTCCACATGTATATATGGAACATTTATACATCCCACATCAGACAGTTTGGCAGCAAATACACATTTTAACACTATAAATAAAGTATGAGGATATGCTGTCAAACATGATTTTGTTAAATTACTGGAATAAGGGATCTAAGAGATCATCAAACTGAAGCTTCTCATTTTTTAGTTAAAACTGGTGCCTTAAATCATTGAGTAACTGGTCCACTGAAATAAGTAACTTTGTGCAGAGCTTCAAGAAAATATATTATTATGCTGAAAGGTTTTATGTTAAGGAATATGCTTATTGCTGTCGTTTTGGGTTGCCATTGAATCAATTCTGATTCACAGAGATCTTATGTGTGTATAGATAATTAGCATAGTGTAATCATTGTTTTATTTTAATGTAAGAGAACAGAAGGGCATCTTTTGCTGAGTATTTACTCAGTGCATGCAACTGGACTAATTGCTTTCCAAATATTATCTTATTTGCTTTTCATCAAAATTAATTTATGGAAAGTATTGTCATCCACTTTTATAGATAGATAGTTGAAAATTAGAGAAATTGATTAATTTACTCATATTCACATACTTAGTAGGTAACAGAGTCAATATTTGAACCCAATCATTTTGATTCATCACCAGTATGCTACCTATATTTGATAAATAAACCTATATGAAGAAGAGAGGATTTTAAAAATACACAGAACATTTTCTTTGGGAGGGAGATTGGACTGTGTGAACTGTAAGTTTCCTTTCCAACCTGAAGGTTTTCACTCAGCCAGAGAGCAGAAAGTTACAATCATATGAGTGGATTCCCGGTGAGCCAAGCACCTCAATATAGCAAGAGCTCATCTTTTCACAGATACAGCTCAGAGTGTCCCAACTCTTGACTTGGAGACAGAAGTCTAAGTGCACATATATGGTCCTTTTTTTTTTTTAATATTCACATGTATTCATAAGTATTTTCGAATGCAAATAAACGGTTTAATTTTGTGTAATAGCAAAAATCCTGGGGGAGGAGGTATAGAGCGGAGGGTATGATAATTATACTAACTAACCATATAATAGCTTGTTATAGCTAGGGTAGACTGATAGAAAAACAAGCAAATGTGTTTTGTGTGGGATTCATTTTGTAGGGAAAGCTTTGAATCCCCACTAGTGAATCTAGTTTTTCAGGAGTTCAGATATTTAAATGATTCATTTTCAGAGTAGTTCAACTGTGTGGCAAATGGAAATTTCAAATTTTGTTAGGCCCATGGCTATTGTTAAGTTTAATATAAGATCTTAGAATAGACTGTATGACCAAGACATGTATTTTCTCAAGTGAACTATAAAAAGCTGCAGTAAGAGATGACCCTGAGTAAAAACCACCTTCTAGTTACAAGATCAAATGTTAACAAGTCAGAAAAACTTAGAGCATTCACATCCCTATATTGAACTCTATTTAGACTTATTTCTTGTGAAACTTATTCTGTGTTTCTAGTTTAAATTTATGTTGCCAAGAACAGATGGACAAGGAATGGAAACATATTCTTTCAGCTGTAGCCGGCACTAAAATGTACTTGGCTCTATAGCCTGGGTGTTAATATACTCATTTCTTAGATATATGTCAACCATAGAACTACATTGTGGCAAGTACTAAAAGCCCAGATGTGTGCCTGGTGATATTTATAAAACAACAACAACAACAACAAGCACAGGAATGGAGTTCACATTTCATGTTATATATTTTGAACTGTCTGGTCTCTATATAGGTGAAATTTCTTGTTAATTTGCAATTGTCTAAGGCAGGTTTATTGGAACTGTTCTACAAGAAATGAAACACTTTCTCACAACAGAATTAATCTGTGAACCCTAACGTTTCCATGAATCACAGAGAATTGTCTGCATCCACACTTCATTGCTACTGTCTACCACCCTCCTGATTTTCTTCTTTCTTTTAATTTGTCTTTATTTTTCTTCTTGATAAAAAATGTCCTTAAAATTAATTCTACAGTTAATAAGCAATATGAAGATATTGTTATGGGTTTAGAAGATTTAGGCTTTCCCAATTTCCAGGTTCTTTCTAACACAAAGAATTGTGTAATTATCATGGAATGTTTGCAAATTCTGGCAAAAGTACATACCATATTTCTTCTAATTAAGAGTTCAAGAAAAAAAAGAAAAAAGAAACTCTAAATTTGTGTTGCATAAATTTGCTTCCATAACACTTTCACATTTTTTGATCCAGCATGATACGCAAACAATGGCAGTATACAATTGATACCTCTAACACACTATCTTTGAGATTGGGGTCCTGATTGATTTCAGACAAAGATAGTTTCTGTCTATATAATTTAAAATTCTTTGTTTCTATAAGTGGTGTTATCTAAAAACATCAAAGACTTCCTCACATTCTAGCTAAAATTCAAGTGCAGCTCTTCCTGAATGTGATAAACAACCAGATTAATCTACTAAATTTGTTTGCTACTTGACTATTGATTTCATATTTAAGAGTAAAAAAATGTACTGCCATGGAGTCTGATCTGATTCATAGCGATCACTCCTTGGGTTTCTGAGGCAGTATCACTATAGAAGTAGATCCTCCAACCTTCCTTCCGAGGAGTGGCTGGTTGTTTGAACTGCCAGCCTTCTGGTTAGCAGTCAAATGCCTTAGGCACTATGCCACAGAGCTCCTATGTCTAAGAATAGACATAAGCAAACTATAGCCCAGGAATTGGCCCAGGAATCAAATCTGGCTCTTTTGGTTAGTTTGTTTGTTTGTGTGTGTGTGTATATAGTTTATAAGTTAATAATGATTTTTCACATTTTAAAATGATTGAGAAAAATCAAACAAAGGATAGTTTGGGACATCTGAAAAGTATGCAAAATTGAAATTTTAATGTCCATAAATTAAGTTGTGTTGGGGACCACCCAGGGTTACTTGCTTATGCACTGTCTATGCCTACAATTGCAAAATTGAATAATCATGATTGAGACCTTATGGCTCACAAAACCTGAAATATTACTATCTGAGCCTTTAGAGAAAAAGTTTGCCAACCTCTTCTTAAAAGAAAGCTGAACCATTTCAGGCCACTGAGGTTTTCGCTTCACTGCTGCCCCTATAAAATACTACATGGCATCACCATGTCCTAAAAGACACACTGCCCTTCCATTAATTCTACAGCATACGTATCCATGCATAAAACAGCTGTTCTTCACCATGGAGTCTCAGCACACTCACAAGCTGTGAAGTGTGTCACAATATGTTGTTAATCACAAAATACCCAAGTTTCCAAATAATTTTATTACAAAAGAAACTAGTTTGACGTGTAACATTACATTCAGCCATTAACGTTTTGGCTGATTTTCTTGAGTTTGAGAAAAACAAGTAGAGTTATAGACAGACAGGCAAAATTACAGTGTCTACTTGCTATCCAGTTAAGAATCAGCTCTCCCTGGAAGTCATCTGCACACTTGGAGAAATCCTGAGATCCTGACATTGAGATGTGTGTGCATCTTTCCCAATAAGGATATAGCCTTGGTTACACTGCCTTGATTATGAAATACACATTTGAAGAAAGAAAGAAAAATATCTTTCTGAAAGGGTTACTGTCTTTCCTAATATATGTCTTTCCTAACACATAGGCCAACAGAGGCAAGAGAATACACCAGGTTACATATTTTTATATTTAAAATAGAAAGTCTATGAGATGTACTTCAGTGGGAAGAAACTCAATGAAATAATAACAACAACAACAACAACCACATGGAGTCTGCAAATCTTAAGGAAGAAAAACGTATCTTTATTTTCATCAAGATGTATTGAAATTAAGCACTTGCCACTATGAAAGGAGCTCTGGTGGCATAGTGCCTAAGGCATTTGGCTAATAACCAGAAGGCTGGCAGTTCAAACCTACCAGCCATTCTTCAGAAGGAAGATTGAGCAATCTACTTACGTATTGATATTGCCTCGGAAACCCAAGGAGGGGTCGCTGTGAATTGGATCTGACCTGATGGCAGTGAGTTTTTAGTGGTGTGCCACTATGATAAATTTAGGCAAGAAACCATAGTTGTAGTAGCAATATGTGTGACTTTGTCATTGAAAGATATCACAGATATCTTCAGATCACATTATAGCTGTCACAATATTTCAAAATGCTACTTATGCTCATTATGAGTTGAAAATTTTAAAAATTATTGACTGTAGGATTTTGAAGTTAATTTGTTAATAAGAAGCACATACATTACTATGTCAAAATTTAAACAGTATTTTAATATAATTGGTTTCCTTTGTTATAATATATATTTTATTATATGAATTTTAACACATTATTCTGAGAAGAGTCAGTAGCTTTCTCCAGACTGCCAAAGCAAGCAAAAATGTAAGAAACCCTGCTTTTAGAGTTTAATTTGCCTTTGATTTTGTAATCTTTCCCTGAGCATTTCTAGTGTTGCATTATTTTGTTACACAGGTAATCGGGAGTATGAAAATGAAATCATAATGTCAGGGGCACAGTAGAGACAAGAGAACACAGGAACTACAGAGATAATAAGTGAGTAATACTTATTCATAGCTTAGTCTCTTCATTTTTGACAGTTATGCCCTGATAATATGTTTCATTATGTAATTGTTTCAGACTGCCATATGTGAGAGAACAGAAGAGAATGCATTACAAACACAGGCTGAGTGTGGGTTGCAGGGCTTCAC